AAATTCAAGCCCTACTCCCGTCACTTGAATATATTCCACAATTTTTTTTTTTAAACTCAGATATATCTAAGGTCTTCTCCCACCCCTTAGATGTACCTTAAACAACCCCCACACACACACCAACCCAACACATAACCATAATTATGATGCATATGTAATGCAATTCAAACATTATCAAACTCTGCAAAATAGTAATACAGATAATAACAAAAATATTTCAAGTTTAATCCCATGAATAATAATATTCATCCAACGTCAAATAATATCCACGGAGCAATATCAATAATACTATTCACCCTACATCATATTGGAAATACCTATAGGATGGCTTAAAACACCAAAAGCGTAAAGTCTGCGCTTTGAGTAGTTAAGAGTATTACGATATACGATGTATCAATCCTGTACAGTTCAAAACGTAAAAGCAGAGAAAAATACATAAAGTATTTTACCCTAAACCCCACCCTACATCATATTGGAAATACCTATAGGATGGCTTAAAACACCAAAAGCGTAAAGTCTGCGCTTTGAGTAGTTAAGAGTATTACGATATACGATGTATCAATCCTGTACAGTTCAGAACGTAAAAGCAGAGAAAAACACAGAAAGTATTTTACGTGGTAAAACCCTACCTCTGAGAAAAATCCACGGGACTCTTCAATCCAAAACAAATCCACTATAGAAAGATGATTACAAGAAGTACCCACACACTTATCCTAGACACATTCTAGATAATGTTTACTGACTTCTTCGTAACTGTCATGGGATGATCTTTCGACACTCCTTATGTTGAACGCAATACTAGTCACGATTGCTTCAAGCTCGCTGGAGTTCTTCCAACTCTCCTTATGTTGAATCTGATACTGGTCACAATTGCTTCAAGCTCGCCGGGGTTCTTCCAACTCTCCTTATGTTGAATCCAATATTGGTCACGATTGATTAAAGCTCACCGGAGAAAAACCACCACAACGGTCTTGGTGCCCTCAACCGTATGAGTCACCGAACATGCAAATGAATGCAATATGAATGATAAAAGTGTTTGATAAATCACCAAGTAAACATGGAACACTTGATGATTTATCTCAAATAAAAACTCAGCTTTCCAAAGTTTATGGACTGAAAATATGATCATGAAAGCTCTGAAAAACAATAAAGACAAAGGTCTTATTTTATAGACTTTTTCTTTACAAGAAAGAAAACATGTTGAAAACCAAATTTCCAATTTCTAAGGCTTGATAGAAAATCATGAAGGTATCTTTCCTATTCGAAAGATTGGTCACATGTAGTTCAACAATTAAGAAAGGAGATATTTAAGAAAGGAAGATTTTAATCAATCACAATATCAAATGAATCCTTATATGCCTAGTCTACTATTAAGGGTATCTTGACTCCTTGATATTGTGATATGATTGAAACATGATTTCCAAGCAACCAAAACGGGATAGAAAATCAAAGATACTTGAGAGACAAGAAGAATTTAATAATAAAAGGAAACAAGGAATAAACAAAAGATATTGAAAAATATGCCTAAATGAGATGCACTCCTAAAGGATTATAATTGATTAAAATCAAGGAAGAACAAGGAAATAAAATCGTATTATATTCCAAAAAACATTCCTAGTATGAGTGCATAAAAAATAACATGTCTTACCCTTCAGATCAAATGGCTCATACATGTTAAGTCACAATTCTGGAATTCGGGGATTGCTGAGCTATTTCAATCCTGCAGTTTCTGGAAATCATATATAGCAATTTTGCTTCAACCCTATAGCTAAATGACACTTCCAAACCAATACTAAGTTCTAGGAAATGCCAACACAATTTCATACTAACAATCTCCCCCTTTGGCATTTCCTAGACAAAACACATATTACAACTCAAAGGAAATTGCATGAGATTTAACAAATAACTCGGAACCCTTCATGATTTATCTCAAATAAAAACTCAGCTTTCCAAGTTTATGGACTGAAAATATGATCGTTAAAGCACCATGAAGAAAGAAGCAAAACCTCGTTATATAAGTGGCTTTTCTTCACAAGGAAGAAAACCTACGTTCAAAACACAATCTCCACAACTGAATGCTTGACATAAAATCAATGATATGATCCTATTCTGTATAAAACTCACGTGAACTCCGAGAAGGATATTCACAATCGCTTTATCAAGATTCCTAATATTCTTGAATTAATTCCAAGAATACCCCAACCCTTTAGACACATTGATTTGATTAAAAAAGTGATTGCCAATAGAAGATACTTTCCAATACAAAGCAAAATTACCCTTGAGACCCAAGGAAATACAAATGAGATGCACTCCTAAAAAGATTCTAATTGATTAAAATCAAGGAAGATCAAAGAAATAAAATCATATTAGATTCCCAAAAATGTTCCTATTATGAGTGCATGAAAAATGACATGTCTTACCCTTCAAATCAAATGTCTCAGACGTGTTAAGTTACAATTCTAGAATTCGGGGATTGCTAGACAACAATTTTGCTTCAACCCTCTAGCTAAATGACACTTCCAAACCTATAACTAAGTTTTAGAAAATGCCAAGACAATTTCATACTAATAGATTGCTTCTAGCACTTGGTGTTCGAATTCGTCAAATGTGTCGAAGATGATTGCAGAGGATTTGAAGCAGTTTTGTGCTTCTGATCCCATGAAATCAAACATTATTTCGTTAGGATGGTAAGGGATGTCTATGAGCCTAACATTTTTCATGCCCGGGATCCAGTCGATTAGCTCATCAAGTGGATCATCTTGATTATCCAAGTTTTTCTCTGAAACACATAAGGAGGGCTGATAGTCATATAAAGAGTAATTCTGCATATTTCAACAACTTTGTCAAGGCAAGTAATTCTTCATATCTATTCACTAATTAACACTTACTATTAAGATTACTTGAACCCCTTAAAATTGAGGGCTTGAATAAAAAAAAGAATAAAAAAGGGTCCAAGAAAATGAGTACCTTTGAACGGAACCAAGCCTCGTTGTAGGAGTTCACTATACTGCAAGTAACCCATGAAGCCACAAGCAGAGGCAGTCCAAAACTGAACCTCTGGAATGCCCAATTCCACAGCAGCTCTGCTCCCAAACCCCATGACCTTCTGAAGGGCAGGGGACACAAATTACATGGGGTTCTGTTCTTCCTCCCACTGGAACCATCTTTTGCTAAATTTACTTGGCAAGTGGAAAAAGCTGCAACCGATCTAATATTGTTATCATGGCTTCTTTTATTATATTTTTACCAACTATAAATTGACCTTCCAGTCCTTTGGTCTTTTTTCTCTCTTTTTTTTTGAGTACATCCAGTCATTTCGTCTTAGTGATCATATCTCATCATATTCATTAGCTTTTGTGTTTTTTTATAAGGTTTTTATTCTTCTTCCCTATGATATATATTTTTTTTTTATAATGGAGGTCCACTTTTGTCTTGTTTTGTTATTTAAGTTATCTTTCTAAATGAAAGTGGGCAGGTTTTTGTATCCTACCTTCTTTTTGTAAAAATTTACCAAAGTTGTGTGTTCAAAATTCTACATAAAATTCTACATGAAAACTTTTTGATATACATCTTCAAAACTGTTTTTAAATCCTAAAAACCGATTTTGGGTTTTGGAGTCAAATTCTATTTTGAAGTTTAAAAAACTGTATTCAAATAGAATACCAAACGAACCCATAGCTTTTGAAAAGCTTCGAAATCTAAAACAGAGATGGACCCAATACATAATCAACAGGTAATTCGAGTATCAATCATATATATGCATTTGGAACAAACTAGAAGGCAGAACGGAAATATTAATTTTATTCATAAGCTTAGCCAAGTCTGATTGGAACTGTAACAGAGTTGGGCTACAAACAACTAGAGAAACAACTGAGGTCCAAATAAAACATAAACATTATTATTACAGCACTTGAACATGAAAATAAGATAAAACCCCCTTGCAAATAAAAGCATATATATATATTTGGGAGTTCTTGACAAGGAATCACATTTGTTCCTCATTATTGTAGCAGTCATCCACCTTAATGGAGAGACTTAATCAATCTATCAAAATTATTGTACGATGATCCTCCAATATCAGTAGCTTCTACAGCTTTTTTCTTCCATTCTTTTGCCTTTTGCTTCATCTTCATCCCCTTTTCCCCTTCCAGCATTTCCTTAACAAGTGCTTCAATTTCGTCACGCTTCACATCGGGGGTCACCTCCATTCCAATCTCCCAGTCAGTGCATGCGTATCGACAATTCGTTTGTTGCTCAGCAAAGAAAGGCCAGCAAATTACAGGCACGCCTTCGGATACACTTTCAATAGTGGAGTTCCAGCCACAGTGTGTTAAAAAAGCTCCAACAGATGGATGAGCTAGCACTTGGTCCTGTAGACACCAGCTTGCTATATAACCCCTATCCTTAATCTCCTCAAAAAATTCATCAGGTAAAACAGCTGAGTCTCCCTCTACCACATCAGGCCTAACAATCCACAAAAATGGGTGCTTGCTATTTGCAAGCCCCCATGCGAATTCTTTCAGATGCTGATCTGTCATTGTAGTTATGCTCCCATAATTTACATACACAACTGAACTAGGTTTCTTCTGATCAAGCCATTTCAAACATTCTGTGTCTTCTTTCCATAAGTTTGAGCTAAGAGACTCGACCAATTTGGTTTCGGTTTCAGGCAAATGCCTCTCAAGCAACTTAAGGGGGCCAATGGTGTAGATCTTAGGGAACATGGTCGATATTACATCTAACACTTCATGTTCAAATTCATCATATGTGTTGAAGATGATTGCAGAAGACTTCAAACAGTTTCGTGCTTCAGATCCCAA